TTTTCAACACTTACCAAAGCAATTTGAGAAGTGGAGTGAATCTACGGAATTCTTCACATGAAACTAAAATTACACGTTAAAACACTGAAATAATTAGAGTTGTGAGTTGAAACTAAGACCACGATGACAACAAGTAGGAAATAATCTAGCAGTGATTCCGCTTAGAGATTTGAGCTAATTAAAGTACACTGACTAGAAAACTTAGTACGTCGTATTATACCAATATACCACATCTTCATTTATTAGGCCTAAGTTGACCTTCATCATAATTTATAATGTAGCATATCAAATCTAAAGCATAAATGTGATTAACCAAGCAAAATACAATTTGGTTTATTTTCTAAGTCATGGAACAAAAACCTTCCATTGTTGACAAATGGAAATCTTTCTCACTTGGAGCCTTACTCGGCTTCCTCGTCTTCTTCATCTACCTCGACAAAGTCCATCAAGACATAAGTTTCTTAGCGGCGAAACAAGCCATGGTAGATTTGGTTCCTTTTAAATTACTAAATCCATCTACTAGTGTTATCAAGCCTAATATGTCATCGGATGTTTTTCTCAATGACATTGATAAATCGACGAAAAAAGTTGGAAAGAAGTGCAACATGTTTGATGGGAGATGGGTTTATAAGCCAAAGGAGAGCCGTTCTAGTTATGATTCAATCAAGTGTCCATTCGTCGAGGAAAAGATGAGCTGCCAAGAGAATGGAAGGCCTGAGTCAGAGTATGAGAAATGGATATGGGAAGCTCGAGATTGTGATATACCAACGTAAGTGCATAGGTAGTTTACATTTTATATTTCTTTTGTACAAAATTGTTATGGAGTTTTGACCTAATTAAACCATACAAACATTTTGAATTACACCCCATTATATTAATTGAGCTCAATGTCATTTTAAATTGTTCCAATTACGGTCTCTAGCAGTCTAGCTTTGATCATCGATGAATTTATTCAAGTACAAAAAAAAAAAAAAAAAAAAAAAAACCAAAAAACCAAAAAAAAACAGCAGACATTATACGCTTGGTAACAGATATTACAATGATCTTCACATTACAAATCAATTTCATATTTAGGTTAAAAAATTATGACTTGTCACAAACTCACAAATTACATACCTTCATACATCGCAATTAAAAACGAAAAAATAGAAAGCTGATGCATGCATGCGGAGAATTTTTTTTTACAACATGTTTATTTTTCACCTGATTTAAGCAATCTATGTGAATTGATTAAGATCTAGTGATTTGATTAACCGTTTTTTCTCCCCATATTCCTATTTTATATACTAATAACTAATTAAATTATGTGAAAAAATAAAATTGATAAACAAAATCAAGTCCAATTCTAATGGTTAACCTTTTTGGTTTGCTCTATTGTAATAATGTAACATAATCATTTTCCTGTCAAAAAAAAAAAAATGTAACATAATCATTTACAATAAATTATTATTAGGTACCTTTGTTTTGATGATCAAAAGAGAGAGATCAATTAATTAAACAACATTTCGCAAAAAAAAAAAAAAAAAAAAAAAAAAAAAAAAAAAAAAAAAAATTAATAATAATTATAATTATAATAATAATAAAACACCAATTAGTCAGTACTATGTGTAAGTGGATCGGATACACATATACATGTGGAAATTGCTACAACATTGCGTTTATTGCTTACATTCTAGATCTCAGAGATGTATTAATCCGAAAATAATGGTTTATTTACTGAACACACTTGAATACTAAATCTTGTGAATAAATTATTGAACATCACTTGATTAATTATGATCAATTTTACTTAAATTATGTTCATTTCATCCTTTAGGTTTAATGGAACTGACATGCTAGAAAGGCTAAGAAATAAGAGGATGATCCTAGCTGGCGATTCGCTAAACCGAAACATGTGGGAGTCTCTTGCTTGCCTTCTGTTCACTTCCATTCCTTCGAATGCAGCTCAGGTCAAAGAAATAAAAGGCTACCAAAAATTATGGAAAGCCAAGGTATAATAATTATTAGTGTAGAAATAAAACAATGCCAAACTAGAAATTTTATTTAACAAATTAATATGGTTATCTAATTATAATATATGGTTTTATTGCAGGATTATAACTTTACATTAGAATTTTATTGGAGCCCATTTCTTGTTGAATTGAACAGTAAACATGAAAGTGGCAAAAAAGTTCTAGTGCTGGATAAGCTTTCTTCTGACTCGGAAAAATGGAAAGGGGCGGATATTATGGTATTTAACTCCGGTCATTGGTGGGATTTACGTGGAAAAATGAGAGCGTAAGTTTTAATTACTTTTCTCTAATTTATTGAAAAACATTTCATGCATTATTCTCAAGTATTGTTTAGAATCAACATTATAGTAACATTATATCAAGTATATACATAAAAATGGCTAAGTGATATATGTGCTAAACTTTGACCTTTGCTTGTTTTCTTGGTTATTTATTTATTTTTATCTGATCTAGATTTTTTTTTTATCTAATCTAGTTAATATTTTAAATAGCATATAAAAAGAAATTTGTGATAAAGAGTGTAAAAAGTCAAAATATTGGGACTATACCCTGAAGTGGAGTGAATCTTATATTATTTTAGCTAGTTGACGACAATAAGTTAAATAGTAAAACCTTAATTTTTTCTTATATTGCTTAGATAAATATTGGAATTTGACTAATAAGAAAGTGATATGAAATACTAGACGAGATTTGTACCTACTTTATTGGATTCCAAAGCTTATCATAATTAAACTTGAAAACATGACACCTAACAGCTAAACTTATCATAATTAATTAATCAAAAGAAATCTGTGTACTCCATATTATGTATCCTAAGAGTATATATATGTAAGCATGTAACTGAAGCATGTAGTAATAATATCAACACGTACGTCCTTACATATTTTGTTTTTCAGGTGGGAGATGTTCGAATTTGAGGGTAAAGTAACAGAGGATATGCCTATAGATGTTGCGTACGAACATGGCTTGAAAACATGGGCGACATGGATAGAGAAAAACGTAGATCCCAAGAAAACAAAAGTCGTGTTTAGAAGCAATTCTCCTTGGCACCAATATGATCAATGGTGCTACAATAAAACTCAACCTATGTTGGACGAACCATATAAACAACTCTTTACAAAATCGTTGGTTAATGTCGTCGAGAGACAAATAAAAGGGATGAGAAAGCCACAAGTGATCTACTTGAATATTACCAAGCTTTCAGAATACAGAATTGATGCACATCCGTCTATGTACAGGTACAAGGACTGGAATACACTTGCCCAAAAATATGGAAATAATCTTAATAACTATGTTGATTGTAGTCATTGGTGTCTTCCCGGTGTTCCAGATACTTGGAATAGGTTGTTGTATGCTTCTCTTTTCTTTGATATTTTAGCAAATTCACCTAGTTAAGGAGTTCTTCATTAGGGATTATTACATCCAAATTTATGTCACCTACCATTATTGTATGTAGTATTTGTAAACAATGCCTAATCTATCACTATATTTATGGACTTTGAAGGACTTGTGTATTGTGACAGGAGGACCCAACAAATATTCATCCTATTTGGAGTTCAATTTAACTCTTTGTTGATAATGTAACATGTTTATTTAGGCCAATAAATGATAGAAGTGCAACGAATCAACAAATACAAAACAGACTATAGCATAAAAAGGTTGGCTCCATTGATATATCTTAAACTTTATACGGGGAGACATCTAAGTGAATAGCGCGAGCACCATATATAGCACGCCAATAAAGCATTCATTGAAGACTCGGTGTGACACACAAGACTTTACAATAATCTCTCTACTTTATTCTCCTTCAGTATTTGCTTCCAAAGTTCCAATACACATTGGTTAGCTCAATTTTTTAGCAATTGGACAATGTTTTCCTTAGCTTGGTTAACCCCCAAGGGCAGTTGACAATAATATTTTAGGATCACACATAGCCTGAAACAATCAAAGAAATCCTCTATACCTAGAACTACTTCAATCTCCAAAATTATAGTAATTTTTTATTATACAACGAAAAAATTCCGATTTATTATCCAGAGCAAAACGAAATACGAAGTAATTTAACTCTTATGGTTTCAAAAAAAAAACTCTTATTTTAACCACAGACCAGGAAAATATTGGACCACCAGTCCGATTTGGTCCTATAGTGCACACCAGTTGATTAATGTTTGCGAAATTTACTTTGGGTTTTTGGTGCCTACCTCTTATGGTGCGAAATTTACCCGTTGTGCATGGGATACAATATAATTTAACCGTTTTTTCAAAGTTTGGTAGATAAGTTAAAAAAACGTAGATTCAGTTTTGATTCAAATTTGGTTCCGTTTCATATTGTATCATGCACAACGGTAGACACGTGGGCTACAATTGTAATGAAATTTTAACCTTCTTCAAAATTTGTGAGTAGCTAGATCTTAAATTATGGGTTTGATGAGTTAGGAGGTTACCCATAACCTGATTGAAACTGAACTAAAACAATTGACCCGTTTGCTACATATGGTATTTGCAAAAGCATTTGCTAAATTAGTACTCGTATTAATTTAATGAATAATAAGTACTAGTAATGACTATTTTCTATTTAAATTTCCAATATATGCCTCAAAAATTGATGAATTGACTTAACTCTTACTCCAAGTTTTGGACTATTTGTTCATCAATACAATTACCGAAGCTATTTGTGATTTGGAGTTGAAACTACGGTATTCTTCACTCGATTACACATGCACGTATTGTATTACAATATAACATGCACGAAGCCAACAAGTAGGGAGTTTTCACGTATAGATTGCACTTAGAGATTTGAGCTATTTATGGTACTGACTTGGAAACATTACTATTTCATATTTTACTATTTATTCACATCGCCTTTTAATACTTAAATAAGTCTATAAAGTTGACCATATGTTTGTTATAAAATATTCTAAAAATAACCGTAATATATACTCGTAGTAAATAAAATCCAACCAAAGTATAAGTGTTACCTTTTTTTATTTTCTGTTATGGAGCAAAAACCCTCCATTGTTGAGAAATGGAAACCCTTCTTACTAGGATTCTTACTCGGATTCCTCGTCTTCGTCTTCTATCTTGACAAAGTACATCAAGATATAAATTTTCTAGCTGCTAAAAAAGCTATGGTAGATTTAGTACCTTTTCAATTACTAAATAATCCATCTACTAGTGTTATTATAAAGCCTTTGAAACCATCTACTTCCATTGTTAATCCATCTACTAATGTTACTATAAAGCCTTTAAAAGCTTCTACTTCCATTGCTGACAACATTGAGAAATCGACGAAAAAAGAAAGAAGGAAGTGCAATATGTTTGAGGGGAAATGGGTCTATAAGGCAGAGGAAGGTCCTCGCTACGATTCATTCAAATGTCCATTTATTAACGAGAAGTTTAGCTGCCAAGCTAACGGGAGGCTTGATTCTAAGTATGAGAAGTGGAGATGGGAAGCTCGAGATTGTGATATACCAGTGTAAGTATGTAGTTTTCATTCAATTGTTTTAAATATGCATGACATAATTCCTAATTAGCTAGCAAATTGTATTATTGCACCTGTAGAGCACAATTGTAGAACTAACAATTGTAGTTCCTATATATGTTGAACACAATTGTAGAACACAATTGTAGAACTAACAATCTACAATAATGACACATAAGGTAATTAGGTAAATGGTGGTAATGGAAACTAATTAGTAAAATGAACTCTTGTGTCATTACCATACTAAATATCTAAGCAAGATCACTCATAGGATAGTTTCATTGATTTATTGACATAAGTTTAATTTTGTTATCGTCCATTGCTACTCTAAGGCCAGGGATGCTATTGCAATAATTTCAAACCTTTTGATGAGTTCAAGAGATTAAATATTACTCTCTTTGTCTTATTCTTTTGCCCCTTTTGACTTTACACGGTCATTGAGACACGCCTTAAAATGCTATATTGTTAGGAAAGATATTATCATATCTTTAGGATATATTATTTGATTATGCAAGATATATTTCTAGTTTATCTTAGGAAAGGTTTGTTAGTTTCCTAAGCTTGATAGGTTTTGATATGATCTCTTGCTTGGAGCCCAAGGGGCAAGACTTGTATAAATATCCATGTTGGTCGAATGTTTTGATCAAGAAATACAATTCTAAATTCTTCTAATTCTCTTAATATTATCATGGTATCCGAGCTAAGGTAATAACAAAATTAAAATTTTTTTTAGACCACCATGGCCGAAACACCACCACCACCACCTCCTAAAATCGAGTCTAACTCGCCCTATTACCTTGGACCTCAAGATCGTCCGGGTGATTTTATAACTTCTCAAAGACTTAAACTTGACGATTACAATGAATGGTCTCACGCAATCTATATTGCATTATCTTCTAGACGCAAATTTGGTTTTCTTGATGGCACAATCACGAGCTATGCTCCTCCTTGCACAAAGGATGATTGGGTTACGATACATTGTATGCTCGTATCGTGGCTTATGAACATCATTGACCCTGAAGTTCGTTCTATGCTTTCGAACTATGACAATGCTAAAAAGCTATGGGATGATTTGCAAGAACGCTTTGGACTTGTGAATGGCCCTCGTATACAACAAATAAAATCAGAAATCAGGCGGTGTGAGCAGCCGAAATCCATGCCTGTTGCGGTTTATTTTAGCAAATTATCGGTCTTATGGGATGAGCTTGATAAACATAAACCTCTAATCAATTGCAAGTGCGGCAAGTGTACATGTGATAAAGGAAAGCAGCATATTGCACGGCGCGACGGTGACCGACTCCAGCAATTCTTGCTCGGGTTGTATTCGAATTTCTATGCCGCCTTGCGCTCCACTCTTCTTTCTCAAGATCCCCTGCCTTCATTAAACAGAGTGTTTCAAACGATCGCTCAAGAAGAACGTGTTACAGGAATTGCCAACCATAAAGAAGAACCCCCTGAGATGGTCGGCTTTGCAGTCCGGATGGAGAATAAACCGAAGCCACGCCTTTCGCGTGCGGAGAAGGCAACCCTCGTATGCACCTATTGCCAGCAGAAGGGTCACGATGCAAGCACTTGTTTTGCGAGACATGGTGTGCCCGAGTGGTATACCGAGAGATATGGGTCGAAGGAGCCCAACAAACGACCTGTGGGACGCAGCAATAATACCTCTGATCGAGGACAGACACACAAATTAAAGCCAATGCCACGCCTCCTACGACTGCCTCTGTTTATCCACCAGCCGCTGCACAAATCCCACCACTCTCGGCCGAACAGTGGCAGGCAGTCATGGCTGTCATGGGGAACACCCAACCCCCACCCCATCGTGTGAATGGTAAGTGGATTATTGACACCGGATGTTCTCATCATGTCACCGGAAATCTTTCATGCTTGACCGATGTGCGTGAAGTGTCTCCTTGTAATGTGGGCCTTCCGGATGGACAGAATGTTATTGCCATGAAGGAGGGAGTTGTCAAACTCACTGACAAAATCACTCTTTCTAATGTTCTTTTTGTGCCTAAATTAAATTTTAACTTAATTTCGGTTTCACAATTGTGCTTTACTAGCTCTTGTGAAGTCATAACTAACTCTCTCACATGTACTATACAGGACCAACGCACGAGGGAGGTGATTGGCACGGGTGATCTAAGGGATGGACTATACTATTTTTGGGAGGAGGCATCCATAGCGGCCGTTTCTATTGAAGACTCGTCCAATTTGAAGCTTTGGCATAGACGATTGGGACACCCTTCCGAGAAAGTTGTAAAGCTCCTTCCTTTTCTTAGCAACTCTAGGGGTCATTTAAATAAAGATTGTGAAGTGTGTCATAGATCTAAACACACTAGGGACAAATTTCCTTTAAGTGAAAATAAAGCTTCTCGTATTTTTGAAATTGTTCATTGTGATTTATGGGGGTCGTACAAAGAACCCTCTTCTTGTGGTGCACACTATTTTTTGACTTTGGTTGATGATTATTCTCGTGTCATATGAATATATTTATTGAATGATAAAACGGAGGTGCTTAAGATGTATATGTCCTTTATAGCCATGATTGATAGACAATTTTCTCAGAAAATTAAAATAGTCCGTAGTGATAACGACACTGAATTCTTTTGCTTGAAAAATTATTTTTTGGCTCAAGGCATTATTTTTCAAACATCTTGTGTGGGAACCCCTCAACAAAACGGGAGAGTAGAGAGAAAACACCAACACATTCTCAATGTTGCTCGTGCCCTTAGATTTCAGGGGGGTTACCAATTTATTTTTGGGGAGAATGTGCTCTTGTGGCGGCTCATCTAATTAATAGAACACCAACTGTCCTTCTAAACAATAAAACTCCATATGAAATCTTATTTGGCACCCCACCATTGTTTAGTGAGTTGCGGGTTTTTGGGTCCTTGTGTTTTGCTCATAATCAAAGGGCAAAAAGTGACAAATTTGCGAGTCGTAGTCGAAAGTGTGTATTTGTTGGGTACCCTTTTGGTAAAAAGGGATGGTATTTATATGACTTAGACAAAAAGGAGTTCTTTGTCTCAAGGGATGTTCGTTTCTTTGAGGATGTGCATCCATACTTGGATGCCGACGGTACAAATATTGATGTTTCAACACCTAACATGGATGCTAGTGTTGACTTGGGAGGGGACTTGGATGCTACATACATACTCGATGAAGACCAAGCCACCCTCGACGAACAAAGGCAGCAGCAGCCGCCTGTGGTTACGGTGCCGCCACATCCGGCTGTGGCTGCTGTTCCGACCCCCGAAGCTACGGGCCAAGAGGACCCGACATCAGCAGCCACGACCCCTGATGACATGGGGCGTGGTCGTCGACAAAAATTTGTGTCGACTAGACTCAAAGGATTTGTGACTCATGCTCAGGTTACCCGAAATATTCCATCTTCTTCACCTGCTCCAGTTGCTCCACCTCCCTCAGGTATGCCGTATCCTATAGCACATTATGTTAGTTGTGATAAGTTTTCTACGAAACATCGAAATTTTGTTGCAGCTATAACAACAGGTAAAGAGCCTCGTTCCTTCAAAGAGGCAATGTGTGATGAAGATTGGAAGCAAGCAATGAGGGAAGAAATGAGTGCTCTTGAAAGCAATGGCACGTGGACTTTGGAAAATTTGCCTCCCGGGAAGAAGGCCCTTGGTAGTCAATGGTTGTACAAAATTAAGTACAAACCTGATGGTAGCATTGAGCGTTTAAAATCTCGATTGGTTGTCTTCGGTAATCATCAAATCGAAGGTATTGATTATGATGAAACATTTGCTCCCGTGGTCAAGATGACGACTGTTCGTGCTTTCCTTGCTATAGCTGCTTCGAAAAATTGGGAACTACATCAAATGGATGTGCATAATGCTTTCCTTCATGGTGATTTGACTGAGGAAGTTTATATGAAACTCCCACCAGGTTTTACTACAGATGAACCAGGTCTTGTTTGTCACCTTCGCAAGTCTCTATATGGTCTCAAACAAGTTCCGCGGTGTTGGTTTGCCAAGCTCACTACCGCTTTGAAAAAATATGGTTTTGTACAATCATACCCGGATTACTCTCTCTTTACATATACCAAGGGGTCTATTCATCTCAACGTTCTTGTTTATGTTGATGATTTAATTGTGTCCGGCAATAATTCAAATGCTATAAAATTGTTCAAGCATTATTTGAGCACTTGTTTTCACATGAAGGATTTGGGTGTACTAAAATATTTTCTTGTCATTGAAGTGGCTAGGAGTAGTAAAGGGCTATTTTTAAGTCAACGCAAGTATGCCCTTGACATCATATCAGAGACGGGTCTTCTTGGGGCCAAGCCTGCTCACACGCCAATGGAGCAAAATCATAGATTGGCGCATGCTAAAGGGCCTCTACTGACGGATCTGGGTGCCTATCGATGCCTTGTTGGGCGCTTGGTTTATTTGGGTGTCACTCGACCAGACTTGACTTATTCGGTCCATGTATTATCTCAATTCATGAAGGCTCCTCAACAAGAGCATTGGGATGCCGCTTTAAGGGTGGTTCGATATCTTAAGTGTACTCCAAGTCAAGGTATCTTACTTAGCTCGGATAGTGAGCTCTTGTTACAAGGTTGGTGCGACTCCGACTGGGCAGCGTGCCCTCTCACTCGCCGCTCTCTGTCGGGGTGGTTGGTGTTCCTAGGCAAGTCACCGATTGCGTGGAAAACAAAGCAGGCCACGGTTGCCACTTCTTCTGCCGAGGCTGAGTATCGTTCTATGTATGGCATTACTTGTGAAATTAAATGGTTGATAGGCTTACTTCTAAGCTTGGGGATCCAACATTCCCGAGCAGTCCCTATTTATTGTGACAGTCAAGCAGCAATACACATTGCTCAAAATCCCGTGTTTTACGAACGCACAAAACATATTGAAGTGGATTGCCACTTTGTTAGAGATGTCGTGCAAGAAGGACTTATTGCTACTACTCATGTTCGCACCAATGAACAATTGGCTGACATATTTACGAAAGCCTTGGCTCGTCCT